ATATAATGTAGTTAGATCATTTGGACAGATTAAAAATTAAAGCATTTTTTTAATTAATTGTTTTGATTATTATTTATTTACTATATATTTATTTATCTGAATCCGTCCAGAGGACCCGACTTAACTTTGTTAGATTTTTCTACCTGGATTATTGAGCATGCATCAGGATATTTTTTATGTACTTTTTTGTGACAATCATTTTATATATTAACATACTTGTGTGTGTGGTGGGGGGGGGGATGTTGGGGTGTGTGTGTGTGTGTGTGTCTCCAATCATTTTATTTTCAAATGGTCTTGTACTGATAAGAAAGCATTACTTTTCTATGTTAAAATGGTTTATTAAAAAAAACAACTAAAATGTTTACCTCCGAACCTTTAGTCATTTTAGCGCCATTTTTACATGAAACTTAGCAAAACACTGACGAATAATGCTTTTCAGTGACAAGGAAACAAATCTAAAGATGTGCCAGGTAACACTGGCAGAATGAGCTACATTCACGAAACACACAAAGAAGGCACTCACCCTTGTGTCCTTGGGTCCTCCCATTGTGTCGTCCGAGTTGGGTGATGCACAAAATATACTCGACCATTGGTGTCTGTTCTCTTCTCTAAAGGAGAACACAAGACATTTTATGTATAGTACTGTCAACCAGCAGCCATGCACTTCAACTATCATCACAGATGTATTTTTAATAAAAGGTGTGAACACTTGTATTAATAATTATATTCACCCCAGCCATGTGGTAGAGGTCCCAGGGGGTCAAACTCTTTAGTAGCTGTAGCTGCAAAATGATCCTGGAGCTGAACAGAAGAAAAAACAGGACAAATATGAAATCCGTATTAATAAAATACAAATCTGTGTTAGATGTAAAATTTACATACAACCTTATCTGACCTTAATATTTGGAAATCTATTTATTTTGGTACAAATATGCCAAAGTGTTGTTCTATCATCTGTCTTTAAACAAATCTCGCCAAAAACATGCGACTTGTTCTCTATGAAGAGAAGTACATGTTTCATACTGCTAAAAAGAAAATGTAGCTTTTAGTTCCTGATCTACATTAGCACATTGCTTAGACCCATGCTTCTAGCCCTATCAGAGTCTCTCAACCTATCTTACATAGCTTCACTATTAAAAAGCAGTCTATAGCTAGTTTGTTTAAGTTAAGTGACTACTCTTACCCCATAAATGAACCTCTGGTTAAACTGCTGCATGGCTCCCTGGAGCTGGCTGCGCTGGTGCTGCCATTCTTCATAGTTGCGCACTGACTCCTGCGTGGGTCGTTGCCACGATGTAGTTCGTGTTATGTGGTCAACATAATATACTCTACCCATTGGGTCCACTCTTCGCTCCCACCTGCAAGAAAGAAGAAAGTGAAAAGAAGGTGGAGCTGAGCAGATGAAGAGACAACTTAAAACTACAAACATTTAGTGCACTTAAACAACGTTAATAAAAAAAAACATGCTTGGAATGCTAAATGTGCACACCAGTCTAATTTCATAATAATGATGCAAAATCTAACAGAGCAAAACCAACGGCTTGGTAATATTTGATGTATAAAAGACAAATAAACATTCGGTACCCTGCAGGCAGAGGCTCAGGCCTCTCCCATGTTGTTCTTTTCTCTATGTGGTCCACATAATACACCCGTCCACTCTGGTCCACTCTTTGCTCCCATCTATAAAAGGCAAATTAAAGAAAATCAGATTCCGATGGATTTTATCAGTAAAAAGTAATGATTTTTTGAAAACCTAGAAGACACAAATCCTAATATAGTCCTATGTATAGCAGCAGGTTTACAGAGCTAAATGTACAACACAATTTAAAAAAATATGTTAATTAAAGTCAAGCTACAACAATCGTCTTCAGTCGCTACACAAAAAGAACAACGTAATTACATACTTATTTATTCAAACAAAATTAAGCAATTTCATATAAAATATTGTAGCAATTAAAAGCAATCAGTTGTTCTTTACCCTGGTGGCAAGGGGCCAGTGTTAATCGAAGTGATTCTTGAGGTCGCCGTTATAGCGCCACCTGGTTTAGGACCGCTCGTCACCTGAGAGGAAGTGGCTGTTCCTGCTCGCACACCTGATTCATCCAGCTGGTCTGGACATCCACTTGCTGATGCCTGAGAGGAGCCATAGGAAGCTGGAGCTTCACTCAGCTCACTGGGGGAAGAACTACTGGAGGAGGCTGGCAAAAAGAGTGATAACAAGAGATGAGTTTAGTCTGGATGAATCTGTAGACTTCTACCTGGCAGCCAAACACACAGCCATGTGTTAACATTTTGTTTGTGTAAATAATATTGTATATGCAGCGTATATAGTCAGCTCATGAGAAATGTTGGAAATCTCACACTTTTCTTACTTGGTGAGGATGCTGGTTTGTGCGGCATAGAAGGAGCAGGTCTGGCAGGTCTAGGAGGGCGCGATGTGTTGGAGCCCCCTGGAGACGGTGAGCTAGAACCTGCACTGCTAACAGTAAGACCATTAGGAACAATGACCCACTCATCTGAGTCACTGGATGGAGATGTGTCCCTGCTCGATCTAAAAGAAATAGCACAAAATAATGTTAATCGAACTATTAAAAAAAACTGATGTAAAATTTAAACACTTTAGTCCATTTAACACATGGAGTTTAGATCTTTACAGAAGAAAAAAAAAGCTTACGAGACCTGTTGCTGGTGTTGCCATTTTGTTTTGCATTTCCAATCAGAAGAGCGCCTAGAATAAAAGTGCAATTTATGAAAATATGCAATGATTTATGTCAAATAATTCAAACTGCCATAACAAGTAAGGTGCGAGTTTCCAAATGTCAATAAACTCAAAGAATAAATATGTTATTTGAATCAAAAACTGAAGTTTTGTCATAAGAAAGTTACCATGAATTCAAAATGTGCATGAAGAACATTTTACAGTAGAAAAAATATATTTATAGCATTTTAATAATACACATAGTATATTTATAGCACTCTCTAGTGGCAAAAAGTATGTAATGACAACTTGGTCATAGCTAAATATTGCCATTCACACCACAGTGAAAATATATCAACATAGTATTATGTTAATTGGTTAATTGAGCTTTAAAAAGAGACTACATGTAAATTACCTCCTAAATTATTTTCAAAAAAGTATAGTACTGGCATTAAACATATTTAAAAATGCAAATAAATGAAGGGTATTTTAGCTTTCAGCTGTGGGTTCGCCTGTGTTTTCTTACTCTGCTCTCTCTCTGCCGAGGCAAAGGCTTCTGGGTCAACCTGCATGCCGTCCAGACAGACTGACAGATCACCGACAGCGTCCTCAGGGTCTCTGTACGAGCACAGCTGCAGTGTCTGCACCACATCACATACTTTGGGACAAAATATAATGTTAATCAAACTATTTAAAAAAAGACAAGCAGTTACAGTTTAAAAAAAAAACAGCCCTTAAACATAGATAAATCCTGAGATAGTAACCAGAGCTCCTTCAGATATCTTCCTTAGGAGGAGCTAACTTCCTGATTGTGCCCAATCACCTGATTTTAAGGCCTATTATTAATTTGTGGCTTCAAAGAAGACAAAGTGGAAAATTCTGTCAGCCCAAATGAGTAAAAACTGTGTGATCGTTACGTGATGTTAAGTCCAACGCAAGCTGTGGTAACTCGTGTTTTATGAATGTTGAACAGATCAGCAAGGAGAGCTTTGAACTCACCTGATCTCATAAAAAGTCATAAATTTTGCGGTGCTTGAAAAAACAAAGTATAATACATACTGGTTTTTTTTTTTAAACTTATCAAAGCCCAATAAAATAATTATAGTATATAAACAGACAGATATGAACTCTTGTACAGGTGAGTACAACATTTACAGAGAGTTAAACATTTACCTAAATACTGTGTAAATCTTTATTATTATTATTATTATTAACCTTTATTTAACCAGGCAAATTCCAGTGAGATCACAGATCTCTTTTAGAAGGCAGGCCTGGGCCTGAAGGCAGCCTAACATGCATGTTTTTGATCTGTGGGAGAAAACCAGAGTACCCAGAGAAAACCCACGCAAGTATGAGAAGAACATGCAAACTCCACTAGAATGGTGAGGAGATGTTCTTCTCTGTCACATAACTTTTAAATACAATTCTAGAAAGATCCCAGGTCCAACCGGGGATTGAACCCAGGACCTTCTTGCTATGAGGCAACAGTGCTAACCACTGAGCTGTCATGCTGCCACTTTAATCACCCCCTATTTATTTGGATTTTACTACTTTAGACATTATAAATTGATCAGTAGTCGTCCAGGTTTCCTGAACATCTTTCAGTGTTATTCATTTGTCATTGACTGCTAAACTGCTCACTTTCAGTTTACTTTTGAAAATGGACTAGTTGCAAAGGAATGTCCTTTTTATTTGTTAAACCACTTTAAACAAACCCAGAAAACATTTTAACATTGAAGGAGTCCCTAATGTCAAGGAATGCATTAGTGTTGCGTCTCCAAGGAACAAACTTAGTAAAACTATTTTAAAACAAATATTTATGCATTTTGTTACTAGCAGTCTACTTCAGATGATTTCTTCATATATTTTAGTTGCATCTACAAAATACGGCAAAGATGACAAAGTTCAACAGAGATACTTGTTAGTATTTTAGAACCAACAATGTGATGCCTAAAAAAATCTATTCGCTAAAAACTTGGAATGCGGTAAATGATCGACTAAAGAAGAAATTTATGAAAATACAAATAAATGCTGAAAACTGACAAGAACAGACGTTGCAGTTTGCAGTGCAAAAACGATTTATTCAAAAAGCAACCCAAAATAAATAACAGTGTGCACTCACATTTTAGGTCATTGGCTTTGAGGATCTTACTAATGTCCAGAGTAGCCATCCCAAAAAGTATGTCGGACTTTAGTGTTTGATGACTCCAAACACGAAAAATGAGCTTACTGACTGGAGTCACAATTCTGTGGAAAAGAGACAAGCAGAAGACACAATAAAAACCTAAAACGTAAAATGTTAGAATTTATAAACACAACTTAAGTGTATGAAAAAAAGATTAATACATTCTAGTAATTTATTTTTTATTTTTATATTTTACTTTTTAATAAAAGATTAGTCAAGTTTACAGTTGAGTATTTTTACAGCAATATTTATTTATTTTTTACATTTCATCAAATTAGTTATTGAAGTTGCTATTTTTTTTTATTTTTATAATGTTTGCCTAATACATCCATTACATTTGAGGTTTGTTTTGAGTTTCTCCACTTTGAATTACTGTAACTGGATCTCTTTAGCGTGACCAAAAGGAACTGCCAAGACATCACTTTTATACGAATATTACTTTCTAACATTTTTATTTTTAATGCAATCTATTACCTTGAGGACAATTAGCAGGACACCATCAATGGCTTGGTGTGTCCAGGTTATTAGTTGGGCATTTACATTTAAGAACATACATCATTTGTGGATGAAACAGGTTGGCTAATACGATGAAAACGGTGTATTTACTTCAGAATTTTCATTTCTGGCTCAGTCTAGGTGTTATAATGCAAATATTCAATTTGACATTCCAGCATACCCAATTATTTAATGTAGTGTCTCATGTTTGTTTGATAGATAGATAACCCTAAATGTCCAACCAAGGGATTGGCATAAAAACTGGTTTAAAAAATAAAACAATTAATTACCATTTTATTCATAAGGTTCCTCACAGATATAATTTATTATGGTACAACAGAAAGAGTTCGGTGCATTAACTTTACTAACTTTACTAACCAGTTATTATTATGATTAACTCCTTCTCTGACAAACAGCAATAGTACTTACACAGTGAGGGCCTGCTTCCATTTAGGACTGTGTGTGTTGTTGCACTTCTCAGTTCTCTTTGACTGGCCATCCACAGCCACCTCTACATACGGACTGGGACCAAACCAGTTCTTTCTGTTTTCCTTTAGCTTAGCTGAAAGCACTGGGGGAAGGAAAACAACATGATGAACGCTGTATTTGAAACTTTCAGCAGCTGCATTTAAGAAAGAAGTTTCAACATGACGGCAGTAAGGAGTGTTTTTATAAAATGTACTTATTGTTACGGACTACTCCTCGGGCAGAATTTTTTTTTGTTTTTTCCCCAACAAGAAATAGGCCTGTCACAGTAATTTTGTTCCTAACTAATTGAATAGCAGAGCACAATAATTTATCTTAGAAGACTTGTGCATGGTGCCAAAGCATTTTGTCCATGTCAAGCAAAGTAAAAAGATAAAAGAAACACAGCGTATGTTGAGACATGTTTTCCAGCGATTCATAATTTTATTACAATTTCATGTAGAAACATACTAGTATTATGCTGAGAGAAGATAGTTTAGTAATGTTAATAAATCATTAACTCCTTATACCCCTTGACCTTTTCTTTTTCAAGTGCAATATCCATTTTAGATTTTATAGAGAAATACTTACTTAATTTTATTCATGCTTAAAAATATCTTCCTAGATATTTGAATACTTTTATTCTGCAACTTTTTCCATTATTACTAATAAAATTACAGTAATCATTTAAACAATGGCAACAAAAATAAAGTTAACAAACTGTATACATTTTTTATTTATCCCTTTAAGACAGTAATTTTCCAAACAAAGTGTAATCATAGGTCTTAACATAAATTGACAGTTCTGGCTGCGGTTAAGCAGTTTGATACACTAAAACTTTAAAACATCGTCCGTCATAATGTTCTTGTTTTCGCAAACTTTCTTGATGAAATTTCTAAATGTGTGCTATAAATTACATACCTGTGACTTGCAATTGGGCCTTCATGGTTCATCCATAACACTAAGTTCCAGTTTGGTTGAAGATTTGACCTGCTGGTAGAGACATCAAATGGAAATATGTAAGTAATTAACCTACAAGAGTGATTAGGCTGCCACAGACTACATTCACTGGTAGATAAAACATGGCTTGCATGGCATCCAAAAGGTTTTAGGTTGAAATCTTAAAGAACAATGTTCTTGAGACTATTTCCTATATCTGGAGGCAGTATTTTTTTTGCACAATAATAAACTAAATATTTATACTGCAAGCTAAATTTTTCAGGTTAATTGGCCTAATTGCATAAAGCTTAATTACCTACAGTGTTGCATAAATGTTAACATGCTGAATATAACCAAAGGGGATTTTACTTATTATTTAGTTCCAATGGACTCTCTTATTAATCTTTAACTAGGCAAATCCAATTTGCAAGGGATGGCTGGGTCTGAAGGCAACCTGATGCGTGTTTTTGGACTGTGGGAGGAAACTAAAGTACTGTTTGGGGCAAACCCCACGCAAACAAGAGGAGAACATGCAAACTGCACATAGAAAGAGCCCAGGCCCAAACTGGGAATTGAACCCAGGACCTTCTTGCTGTGAGACAACAATGCTAACCTCTAAGCCGCCGTCCTGTCTCTGCAAAGATGTATACTGAACACATAATGGACACGGTGAAGGTGTTCAATTTAGCCCACAGATCTCAAAGCACCAGAGTACCTGTTGATTTAATCTCTCAGCTATTTCTAGAACCCAGCGACTACCTTCCACATCAGAAAATCCCATTATCAACTGAGCTAAATGGGTTTCACACAACCTACTTCGTTAACACAGTATTCTTTATTCAACCTTTATTTATACAGGTTAATCCCATTGAGCCTCAGAGGCTCATTCATAAGAGAGACCTGATTTTAACAAAGAGTGATGACAACAGTGGACAACAATAGACATAATGCAAATTGAGAATAACAACTGAAAATAAAATGGTATTAAAATGTAACAAAAAAATAGCAAGCTGTAAGGCGATGTAGAAAACTAAAAACAAGAACATGTCTGCAAAAAAAAGTATTCTACAAGAAAGTGATCACGATTATATAATTTTACAAAAATATGTTGTGGGCATCGTTAAAACAGATGGCAACTACATTAACTGTCAAGTTGTTTTTTTACTCTCCAGAAGACCAGATTTAACTATTTTAGATTTTTTTCTACCTGGATTATTGAGCATGCATCAGGATGTCCAGTTGTTTTTTAGGTTTCAGCATGTCAGATCAAAAAAAGTAAAGCTACTGTTAACCAACGGGGGTGTAGGGATCTTCATACGTTTGCTAAAAGAGGCTAAAAGACTGAATACCGTCCTCTGGATTTGCTAACTTCTGCTAAAAACACAAATATTACGCCTTGCTGTTAATTTTCGTTGATAAGTTTCACTGCCCTGTGTGCAACTTTGCTATTTCACGACGTACTAGCAACCAGCTAAGCATTCATTTATTTACGTAAGTAACGCTAACATAACCCGACAAACCCTTAAACGGCCATGACTGTTCAGTGGACACCAATTATTTGGAATAAAAAATATATATTTATACCTGACAAGCACAGAGGGTAGAAGACCAGAGTCTACAGTGTCAGCTAGGTCTCGATTGTTGACAGGAATTAGCCATAAACCGCTGTGCCACAAACCACGCCAGACCCGCTAGCTTAGAGCGGTCTAGCATTTCCGGTTCATGTTTTTCAAAATAAAACGATGTGTTCTACCGGAAGGCGTTCTCAGCAAATTGTTTTTATCCCAAACATATTTTTAATACTTGAAACAGGGACAGACAACACTCCCCAATATTTTTCTTTATTTATTTTTCATATTAGAACTTATTTGGTAGTTTTAATGTTAAAATTGTTGATTAGTGTCATTGCTAGGCACTGTATCTAAATTGTATGAATACAAAGACTTTTATTTGGAAAGCGTGGACGAAGCTCAGTTTATGACGTTGAGGCGTTTTTTTTAATACAAGATTAAAGCAATGCAGTAAATAAACTCATGTATGTATTAATGTAGTAGTAAGTTTTCTTCAATCTCATACCGTCTTTTGCGTTTTAATGGTAAAAGTAGGAAAATAAACCTTAAATACCAGTCGAGGACACGCCCACGTCTGAGAAGCTGGTGTTTGGTCTCGTGACTCGTCTTTCATTGTTGCTAGTCATCTCCTAAATTGGATGAGTAAAAAAAAAAAAAAAAGGTTTATTCCGTAAAGGAGTTGACATTCGCTCAATTTCCACAACGACTACAAGGAAGATGTTGTCTCGCTTGCTGAAGGAGCACCAGGCGAATCAAAATGAGCGGAAGGAACTTCAGGGTGGGTTGAAACTACGGAATCGGCGCAATATGCTAACTGATGCTAAAAACAAACCGATGACATGGCTGCGAACGAGCCATACAATCTAATGTTTTCTGTGTTTGGTCTTTTTATGGGCAGAAAAACGCAGACGTGAAGCTATTGCTGCAGCAACCTGTCTAACTGAAGCTTTGGTAGACCATCTTAACGTCGGGTAAGATGATTGGGTTGTTTTGCCGGTTTGTCAACATTGTACTTACTAGTTAGACGTTCATATAATTAATTAGCTGTTTTTGAAGCATTAAAAATGATGAGGATAAAATGGAAAATGTCTGCTTAAAATTTAATATACAGGTGCTTGTCATAAAATTAGAATATCATGGAAACGTTGATTTTCAGTAATTCCATTCAAAAAGTGAAACTTGTATATTCTATTCACTCATTACACACAGACTGATGTATTTCAAACGTTTATTTCTTTTAATGTTGATGATTATAACTGACAACTAATGAAAACCCCAAATTCAGTGTCTCAGAAAATTAGAATATTACTTAAGACCAATAAAAAAAGGATTTTTAGAAACGTTGGCCAACTGAAAAGTATGAACATGAAAAGTATGAACTCAATACTTAGTTGTTGCTCCTTTTGCCTGGATTACTGCAGCAATGCAGCGTGTCATGGAGTTGATCAGTCTGTTGCGCTGCTCAGGTGTTATGAGAATCCAGGTTGCTCTGATAGTGGCCTTCAGCTCCTCTGAATTGTTGGGTCTGGTGTATCGCATGTTCCTCTTCACAATACCCCAAAGATTTTCTATGGGGTTAAGGTCAGGTGAGTTTGCTGGCCAGTTAAGAACAGGAATACCATGGTCCTTAAACCAGGTACTGGTAGCTTTGGCACTGTGTGCAGGTGCCAAGTCCTGTTAGAAAATGAAATCTGCATCTCCATAAAGTTGGTCAGCAGCAGGAAGCATGAAGTGCTTTAAAACTTCCTGGTAGATGGCTGTGTTGACTTTGAACCTCAGAAAAGACAGTGGGCCAACACCAGCAGATGACATGGCACCCCAAACCATCACTGACAGTGGAAACTTGACACTGGACCTCAAGCAACGTGGATTCTGTGCCTCTCCTCTCTTCTTACAGACTCTGGAACCTTGCTTTCCAAAGGAAATGCAAAATTTACTTGCATTCAGCTGAGTTACTTGTGTCCAGCTGAGACTCACGCTGAGGGGTACGTCATGGATTCGTGGGGAGTGTGGCAATCGATGTGCATTACAGTCCTGTCTCAAGAGGATGTTGAAGACGTTTACATATTTGGACTTATGATAGCAGGGACTCTGCTTTTTGGCATCGGCGGGGCTCTGTTTTTTATCGACTTTTGAAAAAGACAGCGGGAGCAGTTTTGGCCATGGAAAAGCTTCCGAGTCAGTGTGAAGGTCTGGTCCTTGCTGTGGGAACTTTAAATCGTCTGGTCTATGAGCTTAACCGTAAGGTGGAGGCGATTGCGAATCGCAGACCACCTGCGGCTTCTGGGACTCGTCAGTGTGGTGGGTTCGACCTTGAAGGAGACTCATAGCATGGATCAGTGGAATGGAATCCCACAATTAGGCTTTTTCGGAACCAGAATGCCCAGATGGACTCAAGGCTGAAGAAAAAACAAAAATCAAGCTTATCTGAATCAGACTCCCAATGGCCTCGGAGACGGGCTGACTATTAAATTTCTCCTGGGCCATGAGTACCCAAGGACAAAAGCTTCATCTATTGCCCCTATCGTTTGGGGAGGTGGGAATGCGCCATTGAACTCCGTCACGGAACAAAAAGGCGAACTCTGGCCTGGGCTAAAACCTAGGTCTCAGTCCGGTAGAAGAAAACTCCAGCGCAGTTCGAGTACAGTGAATGTAATCAGACTGGGCCCTGCTCCACAAGCAAGAAGTGGAGTACAGCACAGGGCAAACAAACACACATTTCTCTTACCTCATATGGAGCCGTCAGCTGCCTTGTGTGAAAAACAACATTCTCCATGGTCTTCTGCCTCATCTTCTGTTCATGCTGAGTCCATTTTTGAAAAATGACAATATAACTCTTAAAACTGCTAAAACTTGATGCCACTCCGGTTCTGTTTTTATTTCTATAATAAGAAAAAGAAGAAGTGTCTTCAGAGGTTTTTGTGTCGTTTCTTTCAGTAGTTCTTGGTGCAGCGCCACCACAGGCGAGTGGGGGAACAGATTGGTTCGAACAGGTTGGCTCGACTGCACAGTGCAGTGTGAATGCAAACGCACCAGCTCAAATGTAAACAAAATGTTATGAATATTGGTCCCCAACCGAACCATGTCTACCGGACTATCAGGTGTGAAAACAACCTCAGTACAAGGAAACATACACAAGAAATCACACAAGATATAAAAAAAGAAAAATAATAAATTTAAACAGGCTTTTGACATTATAAGGGCACATATTTCTTAAGATGCATTTGCCCTTTAACAGATTCTATTAAGGATTATTGAGCATGGACTTTGTTTTTAGATTCTATTAAGCTTTATTTTGTGGGACTCTGTCCTCCTACCCTTCTTGTGAGCCTTTCATGGCTGGATAAAATTAGTCTAATAACATGTAACACAAACACCACTAATATGTTGAGCTTGTTACTATTATGAAACGCATGATGAAACCAAGTCAAGCTGATTAAAGAATAAGATTGGGATAAAGAGGCCAATGTTGTACATTTATGAAAAGGATTAAAACTAAAGTATTTTAGTAACATAGAATTTCACAAGCTGTTGTCTGCGCAGACATTGGACTATTCACTACAAACTTACTCTTACAGAAGCGAAAGAGCTGAATACAGTTTTTCTATTAAATAAAAACAAATTAACACTCATTCTTGTGTTTTCTTTTATTTAAGTGTTGCTCAGGCATATGTTAACCAACGTAAACTCGACCATGAGGTGAAGACTCTGCAAGTACAGGCGAGCCAATTCTCCAAACAAACTGCACAGTGGATCAGCATGGTGGAGGGATTCAATCAGGCTTTAAAGGTACATTATGCTGCATCTAAAGTGGCATCTTGGTTTTTTTTTTAATGATTTTATTTTACATGATTAACTCTCATGGAATGTCTGGAATAAATTAAAATTGTAGTCTGCTTTTATGACACTCGGTTAGATTAGCAGTTGTACATGGTGACAACTCCTGACTTTGTCCTATATGTTGTTTTTTTAATCAAACAGGAAATTGGGGATGTTGAGAACTGGGCTCGCAGTATTGAGATGGACATGAGAACAATCGCCACAGCTCTGGAATATGTTCACAAGGGACAACTTCACTCTGCTGCTTCGTAAAGTTCAGTGTTTGTGTGGGACTTTTACTACTGAATATATATAAACTGGATTAAAACATTCATCCGGTCCAGTGGAGCTCATTCAGTGATGACTACTCATCTGCACGCTCCTCTGAGTGGACTTAAGCCAATATTTTTCAGATGGATATCAACAGTTTGTTGTTGCATTTTAAATTTTTTATTATTTTTTTTGCACTACTACTGAGAAGTGTGAGCACAATATTTGATTGGGGAAAAATTAAGAATAGATCCAACATTTTGGTTGTGTGGATGTCTTTATGCAAGCCTTGTTTTTTTGTTTTTTTTTTGCAAATTGGGACTAGACATTTAATTTGGAATAGAAAATTGGGTCTCACTGGAAGACTTCACAGGCAAATCACTGCCTGTCTTGTCTGAGGTATGGCTATAAAAGCTTGTCATAAAATTTGGTGTTTGCACCTTAGCTGAATGGAGCATTCAGGCACATCTATGAACAGTGATGATTGTCCTGTTTGTGTTATCATCTTGTAATGGGATGTCTTTCAATAAAGTTGAGCAAAGGAATTCTTGATTTTGTAGAATGTTCTATTGTAAAATGTATAGATTTTAAATAAATTACAGTAGAGAAATAATATGAGCCTTAATTAAAAACAAAAGAAGCTGAAGCAAGCATGCCTTCACATAGTTCTGTAATGAAAGAGTCCTAAATACTGGACAACGTTTTGCAACAAACTCACATGAACGTCTTGAGAACAATCACTGGATACATTTTTGCCTGCTTAGTGTGACTGAGCAATTCATGGAGTGTGATGTAAAGAAAGTTATATCACTACGAAAGCGGCTGAAAAGTTCACTCATAACTCCACTCATGCAGTAACTAATTAGACTTAAATCCAACACACAAGTGACAGACTTGGAATTTTTTTGGCCCCTGAATTTTAAGATATTGCAGATTTTGGTCCATATAGAACTTTTAACATTTGTCCCAAGGGCAAGTTAATAAAGACCCTTTTGTTATTAAGAATGCAGTTGTCAAACTAATTATATCCCTTAGTACTTTGTATAACTGATCACAGCCCTCCCTGGCACTGAACAGCATACACAATCTTATTCTTTGTGCCAGGGGACCTGATTTTTGAAATAAACCAGTCTTTGTCGTAATGTATTTTTGGGTTTGTAAGCCACAGGGACATCATGTTTACAAAATAAACATCTCAGTTTATCTGAAACTCTTGCAACATACGGAATGAGCACTGGTTAGGATCTGGGGCCCTTTACACCTGATGGCTGGTTGGAGCCCTGTTTGGGGATCCTCTGCTTTCAGGAAGACCCAGTTAGGATTAATCATAAAGATCCAGTCCCCTGGCGCAGAGTAATATTGTGTATGTTGTTAAGTGCCAGGAGTTGTACATCAGGGAGACAAAACAGCCAATGGCCAAAAGGATGGTCCAGCCAGTGCAAAAGAACCTCATTAGGCCAGGGTTCCATCCATCCATCCATCCATCCATCCATCCATCCATCCATCCATCCATTATCTTTACCCGCTTATTCCATTTTGGGTCACGGGGGTCGCTGGTGCCCATGTCCAGCAATCACTGTGCGAGGGGCGGGGGGACACCCTGGACGTGTCGCAAGTCCATCACAGGGCCACATAGAGACAAACGAGACAAACAAACAGTCTCTCACTCACACCTAGGGACAATTTAGAGTTACCAATCAGCCTAACATGCATGTTTTTGGTCTGTAGGAGGAAACTGGAGTACCCGGAGAAAACCAACTCATGCACGGAGAGAACATGCAAACTCCACCCAGAAAGGCCCCTGGACTGGGGTTTGAACCAAGGACCTGCTCGCTGAGAGGCGGCAGCAGCTCTACCAGTTGCGCCACCGTGCTGCGGCCAGGGTTCCGTGATCTACATATTTGTAGGCCAGAGGTGCACTTTCAGGGATGAAGGTGTGAACACCTTTTATAGAGAGAAGTAAAGGAAGCCATATTCATGAAGAAAACCCGTCCATCATTAAACAGGGCCAGTAGGTTTTCATGTTCAACTGTCACCCTCTTACAATGTCGTCATTGCGAGTAACCCTCAGCCCTCTGTGAAGTGGTCATCAGTGTACGAACACTAACAGATGTTAAACTGATTTTGCATGTGAACAACTAGTTTTGGCTGTCACCAGGAAACTGGTTGATCCACTTTGAGAAGGTGCTGCTGATAAGACTTGAGTTTGCTTGCATCTCCTCAGACTGAAGTCTTCTGGATAAAAGACAAAATGTTTCAACAAAGAAGAATCCGTTCAGAGGACCTGACTCAGCCTTATTAATGTCTACCTGGATTATTGAGCATTCATCTGGACTGGGTGTTATATATATTATGTTATATATCTGTTATAGTTTTAATCCAGAATGTTAGGAGTTTGAATATCTTTAAAAAATGTTCTCGAAATTCAAGTGTGCTTACAGAAAATTCCTAAGGGATTTGACCCCCACCCCACCCCCACATTTTTTTTCAACAGAACAAAACAATTACAGATTGGGGATTACTAGTAGTGGACTTGTCTTAAGGGATAGACCACAGGGGTAAGGCTTCACTTTGACCAGCCTCTCTGAGCTCAAAAAGAAATAGCAACCAGAAAGGGAAAGGAAGGGAAGACCGACTGATAGCTTGATTTGTCACCCCTGAAAAAGGCAACAAAGGTAAGATGAAAAATGTCTTGATGCATGCTCAAAAATCCAGGTAGAAAAATATATTAACGTTGAGTCAAGTCCTCTGGATGGATTCTTCTTTGTTGAATTGTTTTGTTTTTTATCCAAAAGACTAGTCTGAGAAGATGCAAGCAAACTCAGTCTTATACTGTAAGCAGCACCTTCTCAAAGTGGATCAGCCAGTTTTCTGGTGACAAACAAAACTAGTTGTTCATATGTAAAAGTAGGACCATCAGCCTAACAACTGATGACCACTTGATATTCACAGAGGGCCGAGTGATACTCGCAATAACAGTATGGTAGGAGGGTGAAGTTAAACATGGAGGTCTCCGCCCAGTTGTTTAACGATAGACGGATTCTCGTCACAAAAGATGGCTTCTTTTTCTACTCTCTCAAACCAGCATTCCTCACTAGCAAGAATGTGGTCATCGTCATTCCTGAAAGAGTGATCGCTGGCCTTCAGATGATTGTACAGAGTATACCACTGAGTCCTGACCTGATGATGTTGCTCTTCTGTGTTGGGCCAACATTTTGGCCAGTGGCTGTTTTGTGTCTCCAATGTATAACTGATCACAGTCCCCCTGGCACTTAACAGCATACAAGTTTGACTGCCACATTGCGGCCATTTAAAAGTTTTGATTTGACAGTAGCCTAATGTGATTTAAACTGATTTGTTGGGGTTCGCTTTCAGCTACCTCCATACAAAATTTCAGCTCAATAAGGAAATAAAATCAATGAGTATAGTAATTTTTTCGTTTAAGCTTTGTCGGTCAGCATTTTTAGATTTGAATTCAGAATGTTTTATTTATTTATTAACCTTTATTTAACCAGGTAAATCTCATTGAGATCACAGATCTCTTTTGCAAGGGAGGCCTGGGTGTAAAGGCAGCCTAACGACATGGTTGTATAAGAAATGAGAAGCAACAATCGCCCATGTAGTAATTATCTAATAGAAGACCCGTACCTATTTGCTTAGTTAAATCCGGTGGCCACTTGTGTTTTTTTTTTTTTTTTTTTTTTTTTGAGACCAGGCAGTGTATTTTGTCATGGTAATTCAAAATTCCAATAAAAGTAATAGCACACATCACGGTGCCAAGCTGGTCATTTTAATATAACATTTGTGGGGGTACACATTGCAGTTTGGGCCACATTAGTGGGGGCCGAGATGGTGTAGAGGCAGGGCAGCCGGCTTGGGACCCGAAAGTCCTAGGTTCGATCCCCAGTCACTGCACATCACGTGGCGTCTCTGGGCAGCACGTCTCATCCCCAAAATGTCCCCGGGGCGCTTTCAATAGCTGCCCACTGCACCACCTGGTGGTGGATGGGTTAAATGCAGAGACTAATTTCGCCATTGTATGGAAACATACAGTGCTGACATTGTGATGACATTATTATTATTATTATTATTATTAAAGTTGATAGAAGAGCAAGACCCTTTCCAGATGGATAATAATAGGTATCATTTCTTTCTAGATAATGTCTAGGTAGTCTCTATTTGTGACAGGGGCACAGAGTTTGTGTTTGAAATGAACCAGTCTTTGCCGTAATATATTTTGGGGCTTGAAAGCCACCGGGATGTCACATTTAGAAAATAAACGTCTTAGTTTCTCTGAAACTCTTGCAATGTACGAAATGACTACTGGTCTGGGCCTGGGTTTGGGTCCTCCTTTTCACCTGATGGCTAGCTGCAGTTTGGTTTCTTCTCTGCATTCAGGAAAGTCTGGTTAGGATAGCCACATTGCTCCAGGACCTGTTTTGTTTGGGTTTTCTTCTTCTCCCTGGCTCTTGAATTAGTGGGGATGCAGTCTGGTACAGAGTCTTGATGACTCATAACTTAAGTGCTACAGTGGGTGAAACTGCAAGTAATGGTCTGTTTAGGTGAATTTGAAGTACTCATTAGTTTGCAAATGTCCTCCATCAGAGACTGAGACCTTACAGTCCAAGAAAGCCATATTTTACATCTTCTCATGTGAACTCTATATATTTATCCACAGAGTTGATGTGGTCGGTGAAATGTTTGACTTCCTGAGATTTTTTATTTGGGTATCATCAACATACCAGAACCAATGACTCAGCGGTGTCCCTGAAAAGGATGCCAAGGCTCTTTTTTTTTTTTTACCTCCTCCATGTGCAGGTTTGCAACAATAGACAAAACTGCTGACCCCATAGCACACCCATGTTTCTGCCTATATTATTGCCACATATGTGAAGTAGACTGACTGCAAGCACAGTTTCAAGAGTTGGCACAATTGCTCTGTGGAAAGTGTGATCCTAACAGTGGTTGATTTTAATCTTAAACAGAACACCTCCACTGCCTGATCAACAGGAACGCATGTAAAGAGTGATCCGTCATCCAAAGTGGCCATTGTTTCATCAGTCTGCATGATGACATCCCTTATCCACTAAGTCCATTGTGTTCTGTATGTGATTTCTTGAGCTGTCAACTAAAGGGCAAAGTACAGATGCCAGATATTTGGAAACATTGCAAGTGTCTGAGTTAATTATGTTAACAAAAGGTCTTAGCGATACATCTTGTTGTAAATTTAGGGTAAACCATACAGTACTGTGTTCAACTGTCACCCTCTTATAATGCTGTTATTGCGAGTATCACTCAGCCTTCTGTGAATAGCAAGCGGCTATCAGGGCACTAACAATCGATCATTAGGCTGATTGTCCTCGTTTTGCATGTAAACAACTAGTTTTGGCAAACTGGTTGATCCACTATGATAAGGTGTTGTTTATAAGACAGCTTGTTTCAGCTCCTCGGACTGAAGAAGTATTTTGGATAAAAGATGAAACATTTCAACAAAGATGAACCTGTCCAGAGGATGTGACTCAACCTTAAAGAGGTAATAAAGCAATGATTTACTACAAGCTTTTCCAATGGGTTAATTCATGCTTCATAGATTATGTGTGTGTTTTTTTCCCCATTATTGGTTGGTTTGTGAAATAATATTAATAAATGTTAATTTATTTCTGTACAAAAAAACTCTTTACATTTGATCTAATGCCCTAAATTTTAGAACACTGATTTTCTTTTTCTGCTTTTTTTTTTTTTTTTTTTTGGCCCTTGGCGACAACTTTTGTCTGGCAACTCCCAGGAATCACTGCAGGTAAGAACCAGGAAAAGAAACAAAAATTAATCATAAGCACAAACAAAAATGAACAATGAGTTGATATAAATGCATAAGTAAACTAAAGGTGCACACTTACAGATAGAGCAAATGTATCTCAACCAACCAATGAACATTTTATTGCAAACTAAAGTGTTGTGTTTGGATTGAAAATAAATGGTGCATGTAAGAGTTACTGACTTTAGAGTGTGGCCATGGATTTGGCCATCACAATTAGGCTTTGGAAAACTGAACGTATACTATTTCAACACTAAAACTGAAAGACAAACTGTACTAAACTGTATAATTTTATAATTTATGAAAATTTGTTTTGCACCATTATAATTTTGTCCACAAACATTTATGTAACCATTTGGGCACAGTTTTAACGTTTATGAAATGTGAAATACTGTATACAAAAAGTTATGTTTTTTTTTTTTACAATTGGAAACAAAACAGATTTTTTTAATTTAGAAACCTTATTTTTTTTGGCACCTATGCCAACTGTTTGATTTTTTAAAGAATCTCTTTATTTTGATTTGTCAATAAGGACAGTTTTTTGTTGCATTACTCACTAACAAGCTTGCCAACTAATTAGTTTTCAGCAGCAAGCTAAGAAGCTCTCTCATGGGTATTAAAATTGATCTTAAAATAATGTAATCCCCCTTGGGGTTCACTACATCACAAATGACTTTTTTTTTCCATCCCTAAGAGTCTTATCCAAAGATTTCTCATGTGCCTAAAGCAGCCAACACAGTTCTGTGTAACAAAGCCCCGACTTTACTTAGAGTTTTGGTGAACAAAGTCGTGTTTGGTAGCTGTCAGGAACATTCAACAGAACATTAGTGTCTGAATGAAACACCGTATTGTGAAAGTAGATAGGGATTTGGTTAAAAGGCCTTTCTTACATTATTTATAACTGTTTACTTTTTTCCCCCATTAATATTTTTATAGGAAATAGACGGCGAAAACACGCATCTGAAGGCAAGATGGATGTACAGGTTATATATGATATTTTAGGGTAAGAAGTGAAATTTTGTGTGTGTGTGTGTTTTGGCTTAAATTTAAAGCTTGGAAAAAATATGGAATATCTTTTAATTTTACACTCTTTCTCTGTGTTTTTCCAGAGAAAATGCCTGGTATTATATTACTGCCACCGTCATGGTGTTGTGGTTGCTTGTGTGGTTGTACAGAGACAGCCGAGAGATTGAGGGCATCTCTGAAAAGTATGTCTTTGTGACTGGCTGTGACACGGGGTTTGGAAACCTTTTGTGTAAAAACCTTGACCGTAGAGGTTTTCGAGTGTTGGCTGGCTGTCTCACAGAGAAGGGAGCTGATGATCTGAGAAGAGTGGCGAGTTCTCGTTTGAAAACTGTCCTGCTGGATGTGACCAGTCAGGACAGCATTCAGAACGCCATGGAATGGACCAAAAAGGAAGTTGGTGAAAAAGGTAAGGAGATAGCTCACACTTTTTAAAACTCAACGAACAAGTTATTTATATCTCACATGGCAAACATCTCTTCTTTATTGTTTCTTATAGGACTCTGGGGTATTGTGAACAATGCTGGGCGCTCATTACCCATGGGTCCTTCAGAGTGGATGAAAGTGGAGGATTTCCACAGCATTCTGAAAGTGAACATGGATGGAGTGATTGCCATGACGATGACCTTCCTGCCCCTTATTAAAAAGGCCCATGGCCGAATTGTAAATGTTGCATCGGTACTGGGAAGGGTGGCAGCAAATGGTGGAGGATACTGCATTTCTAAGTTTGCAGTGGAATGTTTCTCAGACTGCCTCAGGTTAGAAATTAATACTTATTAGATGATGCAGTAGCTAAGGTTACTTTAACAACAATGCTATGACCCACAGTAAATCCTGTTGTCAATTCAGTTAGAATTCAATGTTTTTCATCATTATATCATCATCATCATCATCATCATTATTAGTATTATTATTATTATTTAGAAAGACCTGCTTTATGTTAGAAAAGCATGACATCAACTAAACAGAGAAAAAAAACATTTGATTTTCTACCCTTTTAATTTTTTTAAGCTTGTGAGCTTGAAAATACAATAGCAGAAAGTAATAACTCTACTCATAATCAAATGCCACTCATTAGTAGCCAATGTAGGCTAGTAATTAAAAGCAGACATTGTCAGAATTGAACATTCCTTTCAGACATTTCGGCTTTTGACAAAGCATGAAAAAAGCAAAAATTGTAGTTTTAAGAACACTGTCTGTAAGCTGAGAATGGCCATATCTGTTCTTATTTTAATGTATTCTAAGCTAACTATGCTGTCATCTCATGACAAGTGACTAGTTTTATCTGACTAAAATGAGATATGTAAAAGAAAAACTTTTTTTGACATTACCAAGATGCCTATGGCGCCAATATGAGTGGGTTTGTTGTTCACCTATAGTTTCATCATTTAGCATCATTATCATTGCACTTTGTGATGTACTGTAACAGTGATGAATTAATTACTAATGGATATTCTTTAATTCAACGTTTTCAGTTTGAATATATTGCTGACACAGCTGTCCTGATTTCTGATGAATAAATTGTCTCAAGAACTTGAGATAAAATACACGTTGTCTACTGATACCATCACAATCCGTCACTTAGAAAGCAATTCTGAAAAAATGACTTGTCAAATGCAGCCATAAAATATGAGATAACATAACATACTAATCTTCACTGTGTCTTTACTTCAGGAGAGATATACACTACTTTGGAATCAAAGTGTGCATCATTGAGCCGGGCTTTTTCAAGACACCTGTGACCAATCTTGAAACCATCGAGAGGGAACTGCATCGTCTGTGGAATCAGCTCAGCCCTGAAGTAAAAGCCAGCTATGGAGATAAGTACCTGGATAAGTGTAAGTACAGGCTTAAATTGTGTTTCTGTATTTTGTTTTTTCTTTTAAATGTCATGAGTCAAATAAATTACTATGCAATTTTAAATTGTTTTAAAGTTTTGATTTAAAATCTCTCTTTTTTTCTATAAGTTGTAAAACCTTTGACTTGTAATATGACCTTTAAGGTCAAAACGAAACTTTCCATAAAATGTTGCCCAATAATGAAAGAGCCAAAATATAAAGGATGTTATATTTTTAAATTCTTTATGAAAATAATGAAAAAAATTCCAGTTCCAACAGTTTTATACATGCAATACTTTTTTCACACTTTTTCCATCACAAAGCGTAAAATAATGTGTAAAGTGAGGTTAACTATAAAAAGTTATGGTGATATGCTCTGGATCTCAATAATGAAATTATAGATAAGGTTAAAATATATCAAAAATGATCCACAATGTATGATGTTTTATTCTGTTTTTTCTTTCAGTTATAAAGATCCAGCGTTTGCTCATGAAGGCTATTTGTGACTCAGACCTCACCAAAGTAACCAGCTGCATGGAGCACGCTCTGACTGCCGCCCATCCACGAACCCGATACAGTGCCGGCTGGGATGCCAAGCTTGTCTGGATCCCCCTCTCCTACATGCCTTCATTTGTAGTTGATATTGCTCTCAAGCTGATACTGCCACGGCCCTCCAAGAGTGTTTAACTCAAAATAACTTAAAATTGGCCTTTTTAAGTGTTCCATCTTGTTTAATTGCAGAACCTCACAATGGTAATGCTCATCTGCATCAGACATGCTGGAAACTCTATATGTGAATATTTTGCCATGGAAAGGTCTTCATTCTGCAATGTGCATAATTGTTGCTGCTGTAGATGAAGATAATCAGAAGAAAAATGAATTTGGTTTGAACACAGACAGTTTGTTTACACAATGTTGTGTCATATAATACTGTTATTTATGTTGTTTGGTGTGGTTTTTATTTCCCATATGAGTTTACTTTAAATAAATTGTGTTTCTCAGAAAGCAAAGCTGAGTTCAAAATATATCTCAGCTGAATAATTGAATAATTTACCAATAAAAAACTTGTCCACATCCAATTACAAAGATGACCATCATCTTATAAGTTTATAAATGTATAAGTTTAAATGTAAATACTTTTTTCTCCCCTAAATGCTATGACTATAGTAGGTCAAACTAATACCAACATGTTTTCACAGTCCTTAGGAAACTGGAGGTGACTGAAACGTTGGCTTGTGAAAAATTAAATGACATTATACTGATATTTTTTGTTATGTTGTGGTTATTCAGACACAATTACGCAGTGACTCATTAAATCCACAAATCACTTTCTGCCCGATAATTATTCTCTGCCTTTTCATCAATTACAGTTTATACTTCACTGCACTGAGATCCACAGACTAAACAAATAAACAACAACAAAAACAGGAATGAAAAGCAATTGTCTACGTTTCTTTATGCTGTGATCACAGCTATTGTGAACATTACACAACATCAAACATGTTGATTAAAATGCTCATTTCAGTTGGAATAAGAAACCTTATTTTTGTACAAGAATACAGTTACTTGAGGAAACAAGCTTTTGAATTAACACCTGTTTAAGATTTATAATATCTTATTCATTGTATTTATGTCCAATTGTAGAATGTTAATTATTGATTATTGTATAGCAGTGACTCCCAAATTTATTAGTATCTGACCAATATAATGTATAAATTCATAGATTTTTATTTATTTATTTTGCTTCCAATTTAGTTTATCTATTTTATGCAATCATCTTTTGCTTCTGTACCTTGAATATGCAATTGCAAAATATTTGGCATTTTTATTTACAGATCAACAGGTTACTGTCGTTCTATGTCATATAGGCTTCGCCCTTTAAGGCTGTCGCTGATGGGTTTATCCCGTTATGCAGAGCATAAGCACTGAAAGAATTTAGTCCACGCCCACCTGCTGTGTGGGCCCCACCCGGTCCGTATAAATTACGTTAAGAGCGGGAAATCGGCTCCCATTTTTTCTTCAGCGAGCTATTATAGCACTGTCAGAAGAACAAAGAGGATAAATTGTGTAAATGACCAACCTTTGTGAAGGATGCTTGGCCCGGCAGTCGACCTCCGGTCGTCCGGTGAGTTCTCCTCCCTGAGGAGAAGATGACGAGCAGTCTTATTCCAAGGTAAGCGTTGGGGAACATTTCCCAGTGACAGGTCACTACACGCTGGACAACGCCATCTTGTATTTTTTCCTCTTATCGCCGACCCTCGGGGCGAACCGGATGGTTCCTCCGGGGCAAGGCGTGCTCAGCTGCAGCCCCCGCTGCTCATTCCCTCCTGGGGAGCGTAGTGTAGGTGGAGGGGGGCTGAGTGAATGCTCACCCCATCCCACCTCGTTTCGCATTGGCGATCACACCGCTCCCGGCCGACAGCGCCCTCATGGTTGCCCGGCGGAACCCAGGAGGAAGCTGACATGAAGGGACCCCTTTTTTCTACGTCCCACGCCTTTTCCCGCCAGTTCGGATGATCGGCGGGAAGGTTGTTTTTCACTGGGCTCCACTGTGGCTCACCGTCTTGATCCATACGGCCTCGCGTTCCAACAGGACGTTCGACGGGCGAGGCCACAGACGGTTCTTTCCTGGTAGATTGGAGGAGTCGGTCCCCAGTCCACTCCCATCACCAGAGTTGAGGGATTCACCGAGCGGGGCTATTCCTTGGTAACCCCCCTGGAGCCAAGCCTCGCGGAAGCTTTCGGAGCGAAGCTGCCCAGGTCGGAGCAGCGTTCCGTCCCTCCGGAGGAACACGAACCAGACGGTGACCACGCTCTCCAATCGAGCCCACCAATGTGTTTTTCAGGCAGCCGCAGTTAGCAACAACGGGCGCTGCTAGCATATAGCATGTCCAAGGGACTGAATGCCGCAGACCTGCCTCTCCTACGGTTTGCCTGTCGAGGACTGCAGCGTGGATGACGATGATCCAACGATCCACCTGGCTTCGTTACTCCCCTCGCTGCCGGAGAAACTGCACAAGACCTGATGAAGCCCATCGCGGACGCGCTGTTCAGAGCAGCTTCAACCATGCTGGCGAATTGAAACAGTCGGAGGAGGTGCCAGAGGCTGTGCGCCACCTCATCAAGCCGCGCGGTCCATCCCGGCCCGCTGGAGGGACCGTCGCGAGCAAGCTTCGACTTTTCCACGGCCGCGGCTCTCGCTGAGTTCCACCACCAGCCCCGCCCGTCAGAATCCAGCCCTCTTCATTCCGGCAACCTGCAGCTCAGCGTTTCCCCAGATTTCGCCTGCAAGACAGCGCTCTGGGCAAACAATCGCAGAGCTCATGAGAGAGAAGTTTCTCAAAATGACGGTCTCCGGAGGGTGTGTGTAAAAGTGACACGAAAGTTGAAATAAATCATCATTAATGATCAAAGTGTCTGTTTTTTAGCCAGTCTGTAAGCTCGGATGAGCTCACAGCGGCCGCACACATAAAGAGCCGGTGTCCTTAATAAGGTTTTTTAAACTCACCGCCGCTCCAAGACATTACTAGTCGCTTACAGGGCACGATGGTAAGTGAAAATAACTCGTTATAATCCCGAGCTGCACGATTCTCACTCAAGCGGTGTCAACTTGCACTCGTGGGATAAAACAGCCTCCACACATGAGCCGGTGTCCTTAAATAAGGTTTTTAAACTCACCGTCGCTCTAGACATGACGAGTCGATCACGGCACAACGGTAAGCGAAAATAACTCGTTATTAACTAGAACTGCACGATCCTCACTCAAGCGGTGTCAACTCGCACTCGTGGGATGAAACAGCCGCCACACATGAGCCGGTGTCCTTAATTAAAGGTTTTTTTAACTCACCGCCGCTCTAGACATGACGAGTCGATCACAAGGATGAAACAGCCTCCATCCAACGGCGCTGCGTTGATGCTGGCGCACACACACAGCTGCCCGGCGCTAACCAGCTCACATCGGTATAAATGTGGTCCGCAGGCTGGTTCGGGTGGAGGTCCTTCTCTCTCACAAGAAGAGACACCCGTCTCAATGAATCAAACGCGGGCAGTCGTCTCAGCGTTCGGCAGATCACGGCAGCATAAACGTGAAGCAGCTGAACGAACCCGGTAATGAGTCCCGCCTCCCTCCAGCGCGCGCGTCCCTTCAGAGAAAAACGTGTGCTCCCGCGGGGCTAGCAGCCTTCACTCCAACAGCGCGGCGTAATGAAGTCACGCCCTCCGCCTCTCAACGTTCGCACAGCGACGTCAAACGCGCAGCCCCACCGCGTCATCAGCTGTCACACGCTTCGCCTTCAGCACAAGCCTCGCCTTGGATCACACAGAAAACATTCCCGCGACGCATGACGGCGGTTGAGGGGCGGACTGCTGACAGCCGTACAAAACGTGACACATCACTTAACGCACGTTCACCCTACGAACGTTACGTAGAGTGGCTAAAACATACTCGCCATTTTTTCAGATGGATGGCCAAGGTTTTATGCAAATGGTTACAAGTTACAGTTTGCAACCCGAACCCCTCCATTCAGAGGAGTTATAAAAACGGTCCTGTCATCATCAGACTAAATCTCATCCCTAAATGCAGAAGTCCAAGTGTTTCTGATAAAAGTAATCTACAGAGTCCCCCAACGGAGAGAAAACACAGGGTTTTTACTCACGGATCGGAGGGATGAGACCGTTTTTTGGATCTGTTGTATAACATCCAGAGAACGCATACCGATCATCCTAAAACACAGAGACGAGAGTTTTTTGTTTTATCTGGATGATCTGCTGCTCCTGTCACTTCAGACAGGAGGCGCTGATGCAGGATCAGGTGTTGACATCACACCTGTTAAATCTGGGCTTCGCCATAAATTGGAAGGAAGCTCGATTTTCCCGACCCAGACATTTGTTTATCTGGGAGTGGAATTAAATTCAACCACCATGAAAGCTCGTTTATCACGAACGAGATTCGACACTTTTAAAAGTCAACTCCGCCACGTAAGACCTGGCAAGTGATAACAGCTGTCTGTCATGAAGCTGTTGGGAATGATGTCACTCACACAGTGGTTCCGCTGGTTTGTTACACATGAGACGCCTCCAGAGGTGGGTTTGCACGTCTGCATGTGGATCCAGTAAAACAAAACGACGGATGATCATTGTCCCTTCCTCTGTGAGAGCAGACCTCCGACTCTGGGGAAACACCCTGGTTCTGTCAGAGGGAGTCCCCGTCAGCAGACTCACGCCACACGTGTCAGTCTGCTTGCACGGATCCGTGGCTGTCTGGGGGGGGGGGGGCATGCCTATCCCAAGCAGTAGGGGTGCTGTGGCCCCACCACACATCAGCCCACATCAATGTTTTGGAGTGTCGCACAGTGCTGAATGTGATTCAACACTTTGCTCCCGTGCTACAGAATCAACACGTGTTGATTCACACAGACAACATGGTGACTGCTGCGTACATAACCACCAAGGGGTGTGCGTTCAGCCCAGATGTTACACATTGCGCGAAAGCTACTGTGTTGGGCTCATCAAACCTGCTCTCCATTAGAGCGGTTTACATATCCGGTTTCTGAACAGAGGGGCAGATGTGATGTCCAGGGGCGGCCCACGTCACGTGGACCGGACCCTCCATCCAGATCTGATGTTTTCAGACGTGGCAGAAGTTGGCAAAGCAGCTGTGGACCTGTTTGCGACGCGAGAGAACGCTC